TTCATCAGTCTTTGTGTCATTGGCCATCCATAAAATGGCTGTGCCCATTGAAAATTTTCAGAAAAGATGTATTGCCTCGAGTTTGGGTTCTTGGATGGTGTATATATATATATATATATATATATATATATATATATATATATATAATCTCAACGATTTGCTGAACTTAGATTTTGATATAAATTTTGTCTTGTTTCTTTTTGGTACATCTGTATGTTCTTTTCTGATAGAATTTCTTCAGCCAAATGGTCAGCATTGTAAACACACAGGAGGAAAGTCCTTTTATCTCTGTCCTTCTCAGGAAAAAACAAATCTGTTCTTTTACTTTGTTCTAACTGACTGAAACAGCCCCTGAAAGCATCTCTTTGGTTGTAATCCCATTTCTGCATGTTCAACTCACGCAGTGTTTAAGAAACTGTTAGGTCTGCCAAGAAGACAAATTACTGGTCTTATTTTATTGGAGACAGAAAAAATACTGTAGACCATATTAGTGTTTAGGATGTGGTCCTGCAAGTTCTGTGCCACTATTGCATTGGTATATTCTGCAGGAAGGGCAGATTGTAGGCTAAAGGTTTTGTAGTTGGGATGCTGTTCGCATTTCTCTTTTGATAGCTTGCAGAGTATTTCCTCACCAAAGAGACCAGAACATAGGGGTGAAGGCTCCATGTGGACACCAGTTCTGCCTCTCATGTTAAATGAGTGGTGTGGATGTTGTCCTCAGCAACAGGGCCCTGCTGTCAGTTTGTAGAAAGCAATCCTCTGTCTTAGCATCAGTCTGGGGTGTTTGGGGATTTCTATGAGACCACTTTGGTGAACAATTCAATTGAATGCAGCCTAGTCCCTCTACAGGAAGTCTTGCCTGGCTATAAGAGATGGCCAATTGAGACTTAGTGTACCCCATTACTAGAAACCTTCATTGGGATCACATTCATAGATGTCAGGAAAGAGTTGATGTCTGACTTGTTTTAAGGTCCATTCCATGAGAAGGGATCCACACCTGACACTACTTGGGTAACCAAAAACCAGAGGCTGAAGAGCCCAGTGACCTACGACAGAACCAAACATGACTGGTATAAAAAGTGAATCAACAAAATGATTCCTAATGATATTCTGCCATACTTATAGATGAATGCCTTATCCAGTCATCATCAAAAAGGCTTCCTTCTGCAGCAGATGGGAACAGATGCAGAGACCCTCCACCAGATATTATGCAGAGATAGATAATAGGTAGATAGAAAGACTAAATTGGAGGTATCTATCATTCCCCACCCCCTAGAGCTCAGAGAATCCTGCAGAAGTGGAAAATTTGTAAGAAGTAGGGGAGTTGAAGAATATTAGGAGAACATGGCCCTCTGAACCAACTAAGAAAAGCATATGCAAGTTCACAGAGACTGAAACAGCAAGCACAGAACCTGCATGGGACTACATAGGTCCTGTGGATATATAGTATAGCTATTAGCTTAGCATTTTTATGGGACTCCTGACTGAGAGAATGAATGAGTCTCTGACTCTATTTCCTGCTCTTCGGGCTCTTTTCTTCCTGTTGGGTTGCTATGTCTAACTATGATATGGAAGTTTTGCTTCATATTATTATATTTTATTTTGTCATGTTTGGTTGTTATTTCTTAGAGGACTTTTCCTTTTTTCATGAGAGCCCAAAAGGGAGTAGATCCACAGGGGAGGGGAAGTGAGGAGAAACTAGGAGGAGTAGAAGGAGGGGAAATTATAATTGGGATGTAGTGTGTGAGAAAAGAATTTATTTTCTATTAAAAAAGAAAGAGTTTCTCCATAGCAAGGTAACAATTAAGTTAAAATGATGCTTTCATTCAAACTTTAGAATATGAAATTTGAAAGCAGCATATCTAAAGAAAAATATGCCCTAAAATGCTTTCTTGTTCACAACTAATCGTATTTTACAATTTCACACAAGAGTTATATGATAAATATATTTTCTGTCATTTGTGTACATATTTTAATAATAGTAATCCATGTCACTATTGGTATAGCCATTATGTGTGATATATTTACATAGAAAATATCTCTGAATGTATATATGTCATTGAATATAAGTGCTTTTCTGTACTGATAAAATTAAAAACTAAAGAGTGAGTAAAACAAAAAGGATATATTCTAGAATTATTGAAAACAGGGAATGCATACGGAAAGATTAAAGTAAAAAATTGAGATTAATAACTTGATTGTAATAATGTTTTAGTTCCTTATTGCTTGCCCAAATGCTCTTTTGTTCAAAGGAACACCAGGAATGCCAGGGATGATTGATCTTGGTCCTTTCCTGCTTTGCTTTCTGTCAAAACACACACTTTCTTTGCTTTATTGATTGGATAGTGTAGTAGGGTTGACCTCAAGCATGACAGTGCAAGGAGACTAGCTGGTCTACCTTGTGATGAAATATAAGAAATATAAAATAGTAACAAACCATTTAGGGTCCCTGGAAATGACCCTAAAGGCAAGAATTAAGTGAGAAAATGTATCTTCAAAAATTATGATAATTCAATGCAACATGCACACACACAAACACATGAAATATGAACCAGGAACACTGCTTCCTTCTCCTTCCCACCTCAGAGAGGTAGAGAGTTTAGACTGATCCTGTATAGCTCTGTTTAGTTCTAAGGTGAAGCTGCAGGACTTTAGGATTTCTCATCATATCGCTAACTTCCTGTTGCTGAGGCTGTTTGGGACAGTTTTTGCTCAATCTTCCCTTGGGCATGACTGAGAACTAGTGAGACCTTGGCAGTCTGGATAAGTCCATGGGGTAGTGTTCCATGTAAGCAGAGTCAGAGAGAGGAAATCTCGAGTGATTATTTTACCTTCCACAATGTGCTCGGCTCCCTGAATGGTGGACTCGGAGTCTCAGGAAGATTTGTGCATTGTTGAAATTCTGGTGGAGGCTGATAGGTTTTGCAGGAAACAGTTGGAAGGCAGTTGCAAGGTAATTGAGAGAAGACATTCTGGGTTCTGCACAAATATTTTTGGAAAAAGCCATGATTGAATGAATTTGTTTGTAGAGGAATTCATTCCCCCAGAGGATGGTTGGAAATATTCAGTCTGTCTACAATTAGTGAAGTTCAACAGCTTAAATGAACCTTGAAATTACTATTAAGTGAAAAATGCAAACATCAAAAGAGGTCATGTGATTCTACTTTCATAAGAGTCCAGAAAAGAGAAACATATAGAGACATATGCTGATTAACTTTGTGCTGAGAGTGAGGAAAAGAATGGCCTCTATCACCCTTGGAGGTGATGAAAGTGCTTTAGGGTCTGGAGAAGTAGGTTAATTGTACAACATTTGTCTGGGAATTCTGTGTCCTGGGATAGATCCTCTGCACTGCAAAAGGAAACCAAAATCTTATTCTCTACCATGGTTATGGTTGTGCATACCAGTACAACTGTATACTAATAATCACTGAGATACACCTGTTAACTTGGTGAACTTCCTACTGTCTAAACTGCATCTCAAAGCTTTCTTTGGCTTTGTGGGAACCTAGTCTGTTTGGATCCTCACCTTCCTAGACCTGGATGGAGGGTGGAGGTCCTTGGTCTTACCACAGGGCAGGGAACCCTGACTGCTCTTTGGACTGGAGAAGGAGGGGGAGGAGGAAAGGAGGAAAGGAAGGGAAAAGGGAGGAGGGGAGGAGGTGAAAATTTGTAATAATAATAAATAAATAAGTAAATAAATAAAAACAAATTTTAAAAAATGAGGCCAAAGTAAAGCAGGATGGCAATGAAATGCAAAGAAATGCTAATGGTTATAATATCTGTAAGGTGTTTCTGATTTGGGGAAGTAAGGGGTACAAGTTGTAGCAAGATACTGTTTTGTGGAGGAAGGAAGGTATGGTCATCAAGTCCTCCACAGAATTTGGGTACATCACACTTAAAGGTTTTAACTTTGGGGATAGAGAATCAATTTGCAGTGATCTGCCTGACCTCAGCTAAGTTGTCTCGTTGCATGGGACTTTTTTTTTTTCAATCTTAAAACAAGGGGAGGGAAGTTGCACATGCAATGCCAAGTTCATCTACTGAAAAATGCTCTGATTTGTGAAGCAAAGTAGGTTTGCAAAGGAAAAGACTTATTCCATATAGAATTTTTTTTAAAGGCTTCAGATGTATTTTAATAAGGTGATGCTACATTACTGCTCTATTTCTCAGAAAAATTTCAAATTGAAGGTATCAGGAACAAATCAAACATAGTACACCAATAAAAAATGCATAGCATAACTACCTAAGATAGGCAAGGCTAAGAGCTACTGTCAGACCTTCAACACACAGCAACCCTGTTTCCAAGATTGTACTAGGCCTATCAAGAAAAGCTGTGAACAGCAATATCAGACAGAAAAGGGCATTCAGTCTTGAGTAGTCCTTACCCAAGAAAAACATGGAGGCAAGTTAACACAAGACTTTTTCTTTTTTTTAAAGATATACTAAAATGAAAACCTCTAAGAGAAAATGTCTTCCTTAGGACATGAAGGGGTTATATATGAGATATAACAGAACCGTATGTATGTTGTAACCTCTGCGGACATTTGTCTGAATTCTCACCTGGGAGTGAATGGAGGAATTGGGCTAGGTCATTGGAGGATGTTTTGGTTTTGTGGTATATATGTGGCAGTGTCTCTGGGGTTGGGGGAATAAAGATGAAAAAGTAATTAAAACATGATGAATGAAGGAGGGAGGGATGGAGAAAGCAAGGAAGGAAAGAAGGAAACAGGAATGATCAAGATTAATGGAGCGCTCTACGTTCACTTTGCTATGGTTCAAGGCCCTCAATAATCAACACATTTCAGGAATGCACCAGACAGACTTGAGAAAGCAATATACCACACTTTGATTTGTTAAATAACACCCCTCCCTTGCCCTCTGCCTCCAAGCATACTCCCTAGAGTATTACAGGCAGGGAAGACCTATCTATTGGGAAAAACCCCTAACACTTTTCCAGGGTAGAATTCTGGCTAGTCCAAAAAGAACCTTTCTTTTAAGGGTTGCGGGAAACTAGACGCTGCAACTTTTATTTAGTATCGGCGGCGTTTATTTGGAGCAAATTCAGCTCCAGGAGCTGGACGGTTGAAAGCAGGAGGATTTCCACCAATTGCTCCAATTCCTTCCATTGTAGCAGCTTGGCCGAAACGTTCAGTTGTTGGTGGGGTCAATCCCAAAGTTCCATCTGGCATCATAGTGGCAGGTCCTGGAGGAGCTGGGGTCCCAGTTGGCACAGGAGCAGGGGGCATGGCACCTCTATTGTTTATGCCCATAGCACCTCCCATAGCCATTTGGCCCATCCGTATCTCGTGTTCTCTCGCATCAGGGAAGGTTCCCTTGAATCCTTCCTGCTGTCGCCGCATCATTTCTTCTTGTTGCCGCCACATTTCTTCCTCACGGCGCCTGCGTTCCTCCTCCTGCCTGAGCTCTAGCTGCTTTCGTTTCTGAACTTCTTGGTTATGCAGCTCCTCCATTCTCCGAAGCTCTTCTTGACGCCTCATCAAATCCTGCCTCATTAGCATAACCTGGTGCTCACGGCGTGCTGCCTCCATCTCCATCTCCAGCTTCTCACGAGCCTCCTTGGTGTTGCGGTCCACTTGATCCTGCTGTTGCTTCTCCATCTCAATGAGTGCCTTCCAGCGCATGGCATGCTCATACTCAAAGGACCCTGGCTGTGCAAATCTGGGTGGCTGTTCTCGCTCCTTGTGAAATTGCTGGTTTTTTATAACCAGCTTCTCTGGAAGTCCCTCCTCATCATCTAACTGGTCCATAGGTTCCACAGTCACAGGCCGAGGAAATGTGGTTAGCAAGAAGGAGCCTTCACTGCATCTGTCCAGAGCTTTCCGAGCAGCTGGCTTCCCTGAGAACTCAACAATGCCTTTCCCTGAGGGCCTTCCTCGGTCATCTACAATGACCACAGCCCTCTCCACCTGGCCAAACACAGAAAAGGCTTCTTCCAGCAGTTCGTTGGACACATACTGAGGAAGGTTGCGGACTGTAAGAGATGCACTATGACAGGCAAAGCGCACACGTAGCTGCTTTCCACGGAGTGGCATATTATCCAACTCCACTTTGGCAATTTCCGCTAGGGTTCGTGTTTCCAAGCGAATAAAGCCAAAGCCTTTATCCTTATGAATGAAAACCTCGCCTGCTTTCCCATATTTCTCAAAAAGCTTCCTCATTTCCTCCTCAGTAATGTCAGGAGGAAGATTGCCCACAAAGAGACGGCTTCGTTGGGTGAAAGTCTTCTTCCCTGGTTTCCTAAAGTTCTTCAGGTCAATGGTTAAACCTTCATTCTGGCTGCTGGCCTGCTGTCCATTTGCAGGTATTGGTGGGGGTGGTTGCTGCTGCTGCTGCTGCTGCTGCTGCTGCTGCTGCTGCTGCTGCTGCTGCTGCTGCTGCTGGTGATGTTGATGGTGCTTCCTTGGAGTATGGTTCTGCTTCTCCAAGTTAAAGGTTTTATTGCTCTGCATGTTTGCACCCTTGACTTCGATTTGAGCACAGCAAAGTGTATGTCTCCCAATCCTAACCCCGACTTCCTCTGCCCACAGTTCTTTGCTCAGAGTAACGGTGACGCTGCACGGCCTCCACCGTCCCGAGAAAAGAGCGCTCGACCGCCGGAAACGAGTCCATATAGAATTTTAAAAAGGATTTTGGATGCTGGACATAGAAAATCCTGTAATTCTGATATTCAGGAGAACTGTAGCACATTTGAGACCATTCTGTGCTACAATGAGAGCCCTAAGCAGGTATATGGTAGAGTTAGAGACCTGTCACAATAAATAAAACAGTCTGAAACAAAACAAAAAATGAAGGTAGTGGAGATTGGTACAACCACCTGCTTTGCATTGTATAATCACCTTTCCATTTTCATTTTCCCTCCTTAAAACCTCTTACTCTTATGGTCCTCCTAGTTTTATGACCTAATACATGTGTGCAGTTGCACACACACACACATACATACACACACACACATTCAACCAGTGTTATATGACTGCCTTCTATGACAGATACTGTTCTTTCTAGCTAACAAGAATTAATTGTACCTAGTAATAAAATTCATTGTGGTATTTACACATGGGTATACAGAGTGCATGGGTAAAATTCAGCTTCCTTTATCTGGCTTGACATTCTTCCTGTCTCTTTTTGAAATTAAAATTTATGTTTATATATAAAAATACAAAGCAGTGGGTTTCATTACAGCATTTTCAGACTTAGGTTGTTTTTATTGATTCTTTCCTTTTCCCATGGTCTCCTCATGGTGGTATTTTTCCAGCTTCTCAGTAATGTTTTTATGCCACATAAAGTTCATTATCTGCTCTTGTCCTACCTTCTTCCTTAAGACCTCTTATTTCACTCTTATGGTCTCCTCTCTAGTGTCGTGACCACACCATATCTGTCTGTCTGTCTGTCTAACCATCCATCTGTCTATCTATTATCTACCTGCATATATGTACATATATTTACACACAAATTTATATCTATAAATTGAAGTCTACCATATGTAATAAGATTAAAAATTTCTATTTTTTTCTGTGCCTGTCTTATTTTGCTTAATAGCGTGATTTCCAGTTCCATCCATCTCCCAGCATGTGATTATGTTTTCCTTTATGAATGAATGAAATTCCATTGTGCTGGTGTTTCCATAACCATGAATGTGGGTGGACATCTGATCAGATACCCTATCTTTTCTATTGTGACCAGTGAGGCAATAAACACTGATATACACGGATCTCTGTGGTAGGCGTCTGAGCTCTTTGGTATACACAGATGGTATAGTTGGGTCATGTGGTAGCTCTACTTTTAGTTCTTTGAGAAACCTCCATAATGTTTTCCATAGTGGCTGCCATCAGTTTCCATTGCCACCTACATACTACCTGTGTCAACCCCTCAGTTCCTCTGAGGACATATGGGAGCTCATTTGGCCAAGCATATTCTTGGTTAGCTACATCACTATCACAGCTTTCCTGAAGTGTGCTCTATGGACCACTTAAGAGTTATTTGAGTTGGACTTCCTTTGAGAGTTCCTGGTTTATTATGTGCATGTGAATGTCTAGAATTAGAGGCACAGCATGCAGCATTTTCAAAACCAACCTGAATTTAGAAAAACTTCAACAGATTTACTTCCTATAGAATGTTTCCTGAAACTAGGGTTGTGAAAAGCTCCCTTTGAAAAATGATATGTAGTTGACTTTAGTAGGTTGTGATCATACATGACTCCAATCACAGCAGTTGGAAGGTTGAGGCAGGTGAAATGTTATATGTCAGAGGCCACAGCCTGGGCTATGTAGCAAATACCAGGGTAGCCAACTGGAACTAAATAGAAAGATTATCTAGCAAAACAAACAAAAATGTTTGTGTGTGGAGTCTTACAGGTTTAGAGTTTTTAGCATTGTTAAGCCAGGGAGAAAGCTTAGCTGGTAAAATGTTTGCTGCACAAGTGTGATGATCCTAGATCAATCTCTAGAACCCATATAAAGAAGCGAGGCTTCATGGTCTATGTTTGGAATGTCAGTACACAGGAGGCAGACATGGGTAGATCCCTGGGAATTGCTGGCCAGCTAGCTTAGACAAATCCAAATCAATGATGCTATAAAACCAACCAACAAACAAAAAAACAAAAAATAACAACAAAACCACCACAACCACCAAAATACCAAGGTGTCCAGAACCTGAAGAATGACACCTGAAATTGCTCTCTGATCTCCTTTGTGGTGCATTCATACATAGGAGCACATGTGCATGCACACTTGCACACACACACTTTTGATGACTTTATAGTTTTATATTTCAATTATAGAATTATAGACATTTGAGAAATCTTTAAGGTTTGAGAATTTATTAATGATGGTATTATGACAAATTGTGGAGGTGATATTTTGGGTGCAACTGAACTTGACACCTCTCAAATTGTGATGACATGGTGATTGGTGAGCTATGCGAACAACTATGGCCAAGGCCTTACAATCACAGCCCAAATGATAAAATAGAGGTGCTATTCCCAAATCCAGAAATAAGTCTTAGAAAGGAGGTGATGATGTTATGTTAGTTCATATAATTTCCTCCTAAATGGTGGAGAGTTGTGTTTCATTTAATTGTATGTGGAATTTTTAAAGAGCAGCTCCCACGATCCTGAGGCTTCTCCAACCCCTGTTTTTTGCCCAGTGTTTGCTTCCAGCAGAAGTCTGCATGCATGCAGAAAGCATGGTTTTCTACTCCACCTGCCAACAGTTCATTCTCCTGGGATCTGCAGTCATAGGAAAGGCCTAAACGCCAAAAGAAAGTTGCCAATTGCATCATTCACAGTTATAGATATATTGTTTAAACAGCTCTTTAACATTGAACTACTACTGATTATTTTTGCATTTTATTGCTGGAGGAAATGTCTATAACATTTACCTTTCATTCCCTATTCTATGCAGTCATGATCCCATTGAATAATTCTCCGTTTTCTTTTCCTGTCTTTACTGGGTAGTTATTGAGTATCTATCAGGGCTGGGTATCGTGGTGATGCAGTGGGGGGGGCAGTGCTAACACTCAAAGCGGTTGCTGAATGCTGGGAACAGGACAACATATGCATTTTAGATGAAAATGCCTCTAGACTTGAACATATATAAGTCCTCAAATAAAGACTTCAGACTTTCTTTTTTTGAGTTCAGGAGATAGGGAGGCTTTTTGTATTTCTTTCATGCTTAGTACAAAGGTGTTTTAAAACCTGCTGCGTCCGATGCCAGTTTGGGTTGTGACACAAAGAAGCAGGATGTCTTGGGGCTAGCTGATTGATTCTGTGCTTCTTCCTTCCAATCTGGAGAGAGTGGTGATGTGAAGTAAGACACTGTTAGAGGTTAGCCACTCACTGGGACACAGCAGATACTGGTTACATTTCATCCGTGGGATTCTTTGCTTGAAAAAACCTTTGACTTATTCATTCAAATCATGAGCCTATGAAGCTTCTGTTCTATGCCAGAAACTATCAAGCATTGCAGCAACTCTTGCCATTGTGCAACTTCAGTTCTAGTTTCTAGGGGTAGGAATAGTGGGAGACAAGGGAAAAAAGAAGCATTCAAATTGCAGTTAGTTTATGAAAAGTTAGGGAGGCTCACAGGCCAGAGCTGTGTGGGATACAGCTGTGGTGGAGTGGTCAGGAAAGACCCTTTAGGGCATACAGAGCCTTTGTGGCGAGTAACATTTTCACAGTGTGCGTGGGAGTTCTGCACATCAACTATCCTGTATATCAGATATTTACATCATGATTCATAACAGTAGCAAAATTACAGTTATGAAGCAGCAATGGAAATAATTTTATGGTCCATGCCAGTGTAACATGAGGAACTGTATTAAAGGGTCACAGCGTTTGGAACCACTGTTTTCGGGAGTAGCATTTGGGTAGAGTAGGAAGGTGAGAAATTGCCAAGAGAAGCAGGAAGAACATTCTTGGCAGTGAGGAAAGGAATGTAAAGAGCTAAGGAGTAAAAGCTTGGATTCAAAGTGGGTCTATGGAGTCTGGAATTATTGGTGATCAGAAAGAGTGCATGAGAGGCATTGGGCTATGGAAGAGGCATACAGAGCAGTTCAGGGGTGACTTTGTACTCATGTCAAAACATGTGATCTCTACAAGAGAGAGAAGTTTGTTTTCTTCCTTCTGTTGGCTCCCCGGCAGCTAGAAAAATGTCAGTCATCGTCAGATGTTATGAAACGTGGGCTGAATAAATTTAACTCTAAGAGAAATCCTAAGCATCTCTGTTCTGTGCTGATTTAAAAAGCCTCTCTTGCTGTCAACGCTGGGGATGGAGCCTGGACTCACCTCAAACCAGAGAATGAGGAGTGGTGGGAGCTTTTTCCGGGAGCTTAGTCCAGATGAAAGTGATGATGGCTGGAGCTCTGATGGTGGTGCACTAAGGGGAAGTGACAACGTTACAGCCATGCTTCAGGGACTGAATCACTAGCACCAGGTGATGAGCTGATACTAGAGATTGGACTTGGTGACACAGAGAGAGTAGAGTCTGCTGCAGAATAATCCTTTTGAACATTGTGAAAATATGTCCTTCTCTTTGTTAACAGAAAGTTGATTGGCCAACAGCTAGGCAGGATTTTGGGGGCAGAGAGAATGTTGAGAAAAAGGAGGGCAGAGTCACCTGAGTTGTTAGGAGAAGCAGTGAGAGCAAGACATTCTGGAGGATAGGTTAAGACGTGAGCCACATGGCAATACATAGATTAATAGAAATGGGTTAATTTAAGTTATAAGAGCTATATAAGAGTAATAAGAAGAGCTTTCAGTGAGCATTTATAAGTAGTATTAAGTCTCCATGTTGGTTGTTTGGGAACTGGAGGGTGGGAAAGAAAAGCGTGACCACAAGGGTCTATGAGGGCCTTGGAGGAAGGTGTTTGTTTAGTTCACTGCTTTCTACTTGTTTGTTTTGAGACTCCAGTGAGGGATCCAAGTGGAGGTGTTCAGGCTATAGATGAATTTTCCATGCCTGGGGCTCCATAACGCAGCTGAGCATGGCACAAAACTTCTGAATGTAACGCTATGAATGAGCTTACCACAGAGAATACAGATGCACGGCAGAGAGGCCAGAATTAAGAATGTGTGCTCCAACATTGAGATTAAGAAAAAA